CAGGAATGGCAATGGGGTAGGAGGCATGCCACCACTGATCTAGTTCCAACCATTAACAATCATGCCTACTAGGTCACAGCACCAAGAGAACGGCTCCTTCTAACCTGAGAATTCTTCTCAGCCCACTATTAAGGCAACCGCTAACAAATGGTGAGAGTTGGCACATGAGGTGAAATCTATCTTCCATGTCAAAAAGCTTATATGTATGTATAGAGCTTACACATACCTGAGAGCTTCTTTAAATCAAATCAAACTTCAAGAATTAAGGTGAGAGTCTTAAACGTTTTTCTTAGCATTGATCCAACAACTTTTGCTATATTATTACATCTTATGTGAACTTAGGTCAATGGTAGCTGTGACGTGCATATATTTTTTATGATTTATTTTCTTTTTGTCCTCTCATCTTTTCATATCCCTTTACTATTTAGAGTTGATTTTTCTAGCTTTTGATGCCCTGGTTACATTGACCTTGGTTTTACTTCATTTATTTTCTATGTAACTGAAGTATTCTTTTTATTTTTCTTTTTAAGAATTGTTTATTTCACTTTACTTAATTGTTTTTTAATCTGCCATAGGGAAGCACATATATCCACCAGAGAAAGTGAGGAAAAGCAAACTTCCCGGTCTGGGATTCAAACCTCAGTCAGGCATCTGGGAGTCTAGTATCCAACCTACATGGCCCCTTTAGCCCCCTGAGGTATTCTTCATTGCACAACTGTATATGGTTCTGTGCTAGATCACCTTTGTAATCAGCTTACTGATCTATCAATGTCTTGTAAGAACAAGCTAATTAAGCTTTAAGGGAACAGAATATTTCAATCCCTTATATTGTTATAATTTACAATATAAGAATTAATTTGGGCCAGCAGGTGGTGAGGTGGTTAAGGTACTGGACTCCCACATGACCAACCATGGTTCGAGTCCCAGACCTAGTGGCTTGGACCTAGGCCATTCACCTTGTTGGTCGGCACCGATGATTTATTTTTGCCAAAAACTCCTTGTCAGGTCTTAAAGAAAACAGTGACTTTCTACTTAATTGAATATAAATATGTCATCTATGAGAGTTTTAGTTTGAAATGAAATTAATCAAGAACCAGGCTTTTTACTGTGAAATTGTATTGGTGTGAGCACTGTCCAATCTCTCATAATGAAACTAGATTGTTTCTGTTATGAAATAAGTTTTGCTACAAATTACAGAGTCCGGAACACACGGGTGTATGACTATATTTTCTCACAAAAGAAATCTGGGCAACATAAGCTTCATGATGCCATGAGCAATCCAGGCCTTTTGACTCTCTCTCCTCTGTCTTTTTATCCTTTAACTTTCCCATTTCAAGGTCTAAGATGGCTTTCAGAATTTCAATGGCCACATCTTTATTCTAGTCAGGAAGTAATAGGTTGGAAAAAGCAAAAAGGTCATATGCCAGCTATCTCATTTTAAAGGAATCTTTCTGGCAACTCTACTCAACAACTTCTTTTATCTTGTTGGCCACTGGCTTGGAACGTAGTAACTTAACTAGCATATTTCCACCCAAAATAAAATTACAGTTTTTATCTTGGAAAGAATAGATACTGAGTGGGAAAATAGCCGTTTATGCCACAAATGTGTGAAGAGGAGACTGATTAAGATGGTGAAGAGTCAGAGCCAGCAGGTGGTGTAGTAGTTAAGGCATTGGAATCTCACATGATCAACCACAGTTCAAGTCCTGGTCCTGGTCGCTTGAAACTCGCACCAAGTGCATGTGCATGCGTGCCCAAAATCCCCAAAGGAGAATGGAGGAGAAGCAATTGTGGGATGGCCATGCTCCCTTGTGGGGATGGCTTCTCATTTTCTATTTCTCTGTCTCTCCACACATCCTATAGTAAAAATATCTCTTAAAAAATTAAACTAGAAACCAGCAGATTGTGAAATGGTTATGTTGCTGGACTCCCATGTATTCAAATGTAGTTTGCGTGGCAGACCTGGTGACTTAAAATTCCGGCCAGGTGCATATGCCTGTGTGCCCAAAAGCCAGAGAGGAGAATGGAAGAGAAGGGATTGTGGTGTGGCTATCCCCCATGGGGAGTGATTTCTTGCTTTCTGTCTCTCTCTCTCTCTCTCTGTCTCTCTGGCAAGCACATGTGCACTATAGCAAAAATCTCTCAAAAAATAAATTAATTAAATTAAATTTAAATTAATAGATAATAAGATGATGATGGGTCCGAAAATTGTAATGTATAAAGAAAAACTAAAGGAACTGGAGAGCATAATGCAGATAAGAGAAGACTATGGGCAATGTGATAATATAATAGTATATATAAAATATCTGCTTCCTCAAAGAGATTCCGTTCAGAAGAAAGTTTATACCTATTTCATGGGTCAGAATCAAAGCTAATGGAGGAAGGATAGAGGGAGAGATTTTTCTTGTTGAATATTGCTTAAGAATTTCTCACAACAGAAATTTTCTACAATCAAATGGGCTTTTTTTTGAACTCCTGAGAGCTCCACTTAGCCATGACTTCAGGAGTAGATTAGATACTAACTTCTTTGGGAGCCATTGCCTCATCATTTTTATTTCCTAGACCAAAGTATATATTTTGACAAGTAAGATCGCCAAATTCCAGAAGACATAGTTTTATTAAACTATGAAAAAAAATTGACTGTTGCTTTCTCAATGCAGATTTTGGAATTACAGATGCAAAGTATAATGGAAAAGAAAATGAAAATCAAGAGAAGTATTGCAAAGCATTACAGGGCTCAACCATCATTAATAACTTTGCTCTGCAAAAACTGCAGCGTGTCAGCCTGCACTGGGGAAGATATCCACGTAATCGAGAACATGCATCACGTCAATATGACACCAAAATTCAAGTGAGTCCAGGAAGACCTATATTTAAGTTTTTCTACAAGGGATGAATCACATTATAGGAGGAGTCTTCAAAAAGTTTGTGGAAAATTTGTATTATGAAAAAACTATGCATGAATTTCAATGTTTTGGGCATTAATATAATCTCATACTTTAATTCCATTTTTTTTTTAAACTCTAAGGCATGTGTACTCACCAGAGACAGAAAAATAGAAATGAAAAGTGAGAAAGCACCTCCAAGGAGGATGGTCATGCCACAGTTCCTTCTGCTCCATTCTCTTGAGATTTGAGGCAATCACACACATGTTCCCAGAACATTTTCAAGCCACTGGGTCCAGAACTCAGTTGTACAGTCAGGCATGTAGGATCTAGCCACCTTAACCACCAAGCCACTAGTTTTGACCACTTTAATTTCATTTTTCTATAAACTTTTGAGATCTCCTCATGTCATTAAATATTTCTTAAAATAGTGTAAATAACTTTTTTCCTCCCAGAACTTCCCCTCCTTTAGCTTCCTGATTATATGTTTATTTTTTGAATACTCTGTACTGAGGCAGGAAAAGAGAATGTTAAGACCCAAAGCCATTTTGACCTAAGACACATTGTTTGTTTATATTCATGTTTATTCTCAAACTTTTTAACAACTAAAGTCAAATTAAAGTAGCCAGGAGTCTTGAAGCCACAAAAAGGAACATGCTCATTAAGAGGTATAGATAGAAGGAGGCATTGCATGATTTGCTGGGATGATCTTTGAAAGGGCGAGGGGGAAGGAAGTGTGGGATAATGCACACATGTGGGCGAGTTCAGTTCTCAGTGATTATTCTTCCTCTTTGATAATTTAGGGAACTCTACATTGTGAGAGAAAACAAAGCACTGCAAGAGAAGTTTGCTGACTATCAGACAAATGGAGAGATTATCTGCAAATGTGGTCAAGTGAGTAAATTGTTGTGGGTTCAGTTTTGCTTTGACCAAAAAAAGAATGCTTAACTGATACAATACATATTCAATTCTTCTTCTCACTATTTTCTTTTGTTTTCTTTTCTAGGCATGGGGAACGATGATGGTGCACAAAGGCTTAGATTTGCCTTGTCTCAAAATAAGGAATTTTGTAGTGGTTTTTCAAGATAATTCAAAAAAACAATATAAAAAGTGGGTTGAATTACCTATCACATTTCCCAAACTTGACTACTCACAATATTGTTTGTTTAGTGATGAGGATTAGCATTTGATTCAACATTCTTTTAAAATATCCATTTAATAGGATTTTTATTAATGTTTATTATACTATAGAACTGATGTAAGAATTAATGCAATCATTGCTATACTCTGCATTGAACTCTTTAATGGAGCACAATATAATATGCTTTCAATTTTCTATCTTATTGATGGATTGGGATAAAGAAAATCCACCAATCTGGGACTGGCACATGGCATTGTGGTTGGGGTGCTGAACTCCTACATGGCTGACCACAGTTCAAACCCCAGACCTGGTGGCTTGCTTTCCCACTTTCCTTCTTTCTCTTTGTGTCTTAAATTAAGAAATAAAGAAATTTTAAAATTAATTAAGAATAAGTAATTCTTTTAAAAAAGAAAGAAAAAAAAATCCACCCATCTTCCACATTCATGTGTTGTACTGTAGTACTGTGGAAAGAATGCTGGAACATAAATGAAACTCTAAGGTACCATTCTCAGCTCTGTCACACACTAATTTTCAGAATAAATTAGGCAAATAAAATAGTATTTTAAGCCGGCTTCATTATTGGTAAAGTGGTTATAGTATTACCTGCCTTTACTTTTACTAGCTTCCTACTGCTGCATACGATTTGCCACAAATTTAGTGTCTTAAAACTTCCACGTACTAGAGCACATGTTCTGTAGGTCAGGGTTTGGGCAGGGTCTTCTGCTCAGGCTCTCACAAGGCTGAAATCAAGGTGTCAGCAAGGCTGTGTTTTCATCTGTGGCCCTGGGGAAAGAATCTCCTTCTAAGCTCATTCAGATTGTTGCCAGCATTCATTTCCATGCAGCTGTCTGACTGTGATTCCTGTTTCCTTGCTAGCTGTCTACTGAGACTTATGCTCAGCTTCTAGGAAGGCTCTTTTTAATTAATTAATTTTTTATCATTATTCATATATTAAATCACTATGCATCATTTGCAATGTGAAGAGACTTTACCCAGCATAATATATACCTCAGTCCAGCCCAACTGAGATCACCATACACATCCTCGTCAACAGATGTGTCCTACAAGTGTCTTACCTCTCCATTTTCCTCCCGTATGTCCTACCCTCTCCCCCTCCCACACTCTCTTTCCACTTTGTCTCCAGTGTCCATTACAATTTTTAATACTTTTATGTTCTCCAGTCTTTCAGTCTCTATCATAGAGTACGGACAGTCGGTATATTTTAAGTTGAGACATATAATGTCTCTTTCATAGCTTGACTTGCTTCACACAGCAACAAATCTTCCATATTTGTCTACTTTCTATCAAATTCCAGGGCCTTGTTTTTAATGGCTGAATAGTATTCCATGGAGTATATATGCCACAATTTTTCAGTCCATTCGTCTGTCTGTGGACATTTGGGTTGGTTCCATGTCTTAGCAATTGTGAATAATGCTGCAATGAAAATAGTTGTACAAATGTTGTTCTGACTGAGTGCTCTCCTGTCCTTTGGGTAGTTACATACAGATGACTCAAGGTCCTTTCCCAGCACTGATATTTGCTTTTTCAAGGCTAGCAGGAGAATCTCTTTCTCAAGCCTACTAATATGAAATCTTTTATGTACATTAATAATAATCTCATGTATGATTATCCCATAATATCCGTAGACCTTTCCACACCCAAAGTTAGGGGATTATTCGAGGGTATCACACCAATGGGTAAGAACCTTAGGGGTCATCTACAATTCTGTGTCCCACACTGCTAGACTTAGTCTTGGGGAGAAATCTTATGTGAATCCATAGAAAAGTACTTTTGAAAAATATGAAGCACCATAAAAGACACAGTATTTTAAAAACATCAGGTAATTTAAGGCTTACTTCATCACACTATACCAAAAAATTACTAATGATGAAGGGGTGGCTAAATTCAGGCTAGCAGTAAACGGCTATGAATTATCTGTGCTCATGAAGAAAGCTGCTCACCTTCCAGTCTAGGGTCCATGCAGTGTTTAGCAGGGAGCAGAACTGGGTATTAGAGAATAAAGGAAATGTGGTTACCTTTGCTACTCCCTAGCTTTAGGCAGAAGAGTAACCTTTCTGTGGCTGTGACATTTTCATTGTTTCTGAAACAAATACTGTTATTTGGAGATGCACACAGGGCCAGAATTCTGCAGTACAGAACAGTCTCATAGTAGACAAATAGCCTTTTTTGGCATAGAATATCCATGACTGAGACCATAATGGACCATTTTAACTAACACTAAGTTTCACAAGTGGTTTGCTTCGAACAGCTACATCCTATGACTAAGGAGAAGCAAAATGTTGGAGGGAGTGAAAGAAAAATTCCTCAGTGGCTTCGATGGCTTAATTGAACTTATTAGTGCAGTAATTTTGAACTTCTCTTGGTAAGACGTAAGCAAAGGTCAATATTAACCAGTCAGAGCTCTTGAGAGTGCAAGAGAACAAAAGATTGTAATTTAAAAAAAATACTTTTTAAACCTCCAGCTGACTTTATTTAAAGTACTGCTGACTTCTTCTGGAATGCTTTGGAAACCATGCAAGAAACCAAATGCATAAAGTAACTAAATGTACTACTGTAGCATATGTAGGCTGTTTTTGAGGTGTCAACAAATATCAGGTTTTTTCAACTATGGTTCCTAGTAACTTTTTTTTCACCTAAAAAAGTGTTATTTCTACCTTAAAGCTTTAAAATACATACTTTGAATCATATAAAACTTAATATATCATGGTACCTGAAAACTTGAACTATGATGAATGTATGTCATTCAACAAACAATTATAGTTGTTATACGATTTTGATGGATAGTTACTGAAAAATTGAATATTCATAATTCTTGTGGGTCACTTTCAGAATATGCTCATGACATGTAAACATCTGTGTGGGAGTTAGACTGCTTGAGTTTTACTCCCTATGATACCTTCAACTGGTTGGATGACTTTGAGCAACCTCTTCTCACAGAGCTGATGTTTTTTGTCTTGGAAATGTTAGGTTGGCTTAAATTATATCAATACACACTGACAACGATAGCATTCTCATGGTCCCTGCCTCTGACTTTCTGGCTGCTTTTATTTTAAGATCTTGTCCAGTGACTTGTGATTACAATAGCTGTGGGCTAAATAACTACTGAGTACATTACATATTTGAATATGCCTTCTAGCCACGTGAATCTCAAAGAACAGGTATAGTGGTTAAAGTCATGTGTTTCTAAACAGGATCAAAAGGCTCTAAAGTGTCAGGAAATTTTAGAAAAAGTATTTCCAAGCCAAGCAGGCTTGTGGATAAGAAAGGTAATCCATAAATACAAAAGTGTGGACTAGTTTCAGGCTGTGTAAAATTAAAATAGAATGATACTTAGTTTGTACAAATATCTTGAATATAAGGCATGGAGACAACACAAACATGAAAAATAAATAGTTTCCAAAACAAATGACTGGTGCATAACACAGTAATTATTGATAGTGAAAAACACTATCAGTATTTTTCAATGTTTTTCAAATTGCACTTTCTTAAAACTTTTTTTTCATGAGAGCGAGAAGTAAAGAGAGAGCAAGAGATAAGCGATCTCGAGTCTCATGTCATTGGTCCCTCCCAACCTTCCTGGCTTGCCGAGATCAGGGTACATGTGCCTGTTGTGTCCAGGTCAACCAGGAACCAAACCCTAATCTTCTATATGGATACAGCTTCACTCTAGCAGCACATTACTGCTGTGCCACTGAACCAGCCCTCCAATCTGCAATTTAATCATCTGGAGTATTACAACTTAGAGTAAAGGTTTCTGGTGTTGTTTTCATTCAGTTGAAATAAAGCCAAAAGTTGGGGAGTTTCTCTTTGACATCACTGATTTTAAGATTTAAAGACTCAAGCATCTTTATGTGCAGGTAGGGAAGAACAATAGAGAATAAGGAAATATTAGCATTGTCCAACTCCAATGTAAATTGCTTATTGGATATTTGATATTTTGTACCAATAATTCTTGCGATAGTCTTTGTCAGTCATCCTGATCCTTTCTTGCATTTGTGCCTGTGCACATAATTAGAATTTAGTTTTTGTCACCTCTTCAAAAGATATCGTCCTTTGTGGTCCCCAAAGACTAAAGTTAAGTATTACTTCCCAGAATCTAGCACAGTTCACACAGAACTAGAATGGAGAGAACACATAAGGAAAGTATTGTTCACTCACCTTGAGCATAATAAACTTCTCACTTCCAAAATCTGGTAAACGATTATGTGAGTCATAACAATAAAGAAAAAACCAAGAATGTTATTGTCTTTCTCTCTAAGAGCTATGAAGTTAATTCAAAATATTCAAAGTAACTCTAAAATTCTCCCATCTTATTGAATTTGTGCATTTCTCCTTAGTCTTACAAGATACAGGATTTTATCTTTTATTTTATGAGGGAAGTATGGAATGAGACTGAATTCTCACTTACTTTGTGACTTGGTCAAGTTACTTAATCTAAGACTATAGGCAATTAATATTATCATGAAAATTTCCACATTGCATGAGCAAATCTAGCAGTTGATACTTACTCGGAATTAGTGTACAGCATACTGTAGCAGGAGTTGCCAGAAGAGTAGCAGCAGTTTTAATCGCTGTAGCTGTAAATATAACATGAGAATAATAGTAAATTTTAGATGTACGCTTAATGTATAAGTAGGATAATACATGATTGGAGCCCCACTCATCTCACCAGCAGCTCAGGGGAGTCATCCCAAGGTATAAGTAGTAGCTGTAATGAAGCATGATTACTATGAAAATACTATTCAGTGTAGATGGGAGAAAGATTCAGTGTTCAAACTTTCTTTGGACATAACAGAAATATAAATATTTTATATGTATATTTAAATATCAACATTTGTAAATATCAACATCTGTTAACATCTGATAATTTTAAAATCCACATTGAAGCCCAGATCCTAGGTGGGACCATAGGAAGAAGACTGTTGATAGGAAGTAATATTTAACTACTCAGTTGTGAAAATACATTAAGGCCTCTACTTAAGTTAAATATATTTGATAAAGTATATGAATTTTTTATAAACTAATTTCAAAAATGCACATTATGTTGACACTTAGTAAAAAATTAAGTAACTAATTCAGTTACAAATATAAAGCAATGAGCCAAAGAGGAGCACTTTTCTTTTTTCTTTTCTTTTTCATTCACTTTTTAGAAGATGTGTGTGCTCACGAGAGTAAGACCGAGAGGGAGAGAGAAAAAATATCCCCCAGTAGGATGTGGTCTCCCTTTTTCGTTCTGTAAGGTTTTGGGGGATACAGCACACCAGCCAGGAGAGTTTTTCAAGCCACTGAGGCCAAGATATGAATGAAGAAGGGTGGGAGCAAAACC